CATTTACCTGTGGGAGATGAATGCTGCACTTGGACGACCTACTTCTGTGCCCTTCATCTTCAATCTGCACAACAGAAAAAGAGAAAACTGGGAAGAAACAAAAGTGTTAGTGAAATGGCCCCAAATCTGCATCTTTGAACATTCAACGAAGACGAACGGAACTGAAACAAGGGGTGAACACAGTGGGCCGGACCAAAATAGGGAGACGAAACAGACAGACATGAAAACAGAACGCAACAAAACAGCCGGCAAACCCACCACACACACTTTCACAACGGTCGTCCTGGGGCTAAGACTGCAAAGAGGACATATCTCATCCAAAGCTGGAGATATGATCCCAATTGCAGACCAAAGACCCAGGCAGGGGTAGCTTCCACCGCCGGTGGACACAGTTTCACCTCCCCCTTACCCCCCCCTTCCCTCCCCGATAGACGTCACACGGAAAAAAGGTTACAGTTACTTAACAAAAACTTCGATGAAAACCGGCTTCTTCTCTCTTCGCAGCATTCAAAAGCTCCCTGTGGCAGAAAAAAAGAAGCAAGTATACATTGTAAATTCAATATCCAAATTTCTGACATCACGTCCTGTCATCAAACTCCAATACATTTCCATTTTATCAAACAAGTACGTTATGTCCAACTTGCCATCTCAAACTCCAAAGATACACCCAAGGTCTACCTCCACGTTAAAATCCAGCAAGCCCATTCAAATGCAAGGAAGCGCATCAAAACAGAGACGTTTTGCAAGGAGAAACATTACTCATTTACCTGTGGGAGATGAATGCTGCACTTGGACGACCTTACTTCTGTGCCCTTCATCTTCAATCTGCACACACAGAAAAGAGAAAACTGGGAAGAAACAAAAAGTGTTAGTGAAATGTCAAAACTCTGCATCTTTGAACATTCAACGAAGACGAACGGAACTGAAACAAGGGGTGAACACAGTGGGCCGGACAAATAGGGAGACGAAAAGACAGACATGAACAGAACGCAACAAAACAGCCGGCAACCCACCACACACACTTTCACAACGGTCGTCCTGGGCTAAGACCTGCAAAGAGACATATCTCCATCCAAGCTGGAGATATGATCCCAATTTCAGACCAAAGACCCAGGCAGGGGTAGCTTCCACCGCCGGTGACACAAGTTTCACCTCCCCTTACCCCCCTTCCTCCCCGATAGACGTCACACGGAAAAAAGGTTACAGTTACTTAACAAAAACTTCGATGAAAACCGGCGTCTTCTCTCTTCGCAGCATTCAAAAGCTCCCTGTGGCAGAAAAAAAGAGCAAGTATACATTGTAAATTCAATATCCCAATTTTCTGACATCACGTCCTGTCATCAAACCTCCAATACATTTCCATTTTATCAACAAGTACTGTATGTCCAACTTGCCATCTCAAACTCCAAAGATATACCCCAAGGTCTACCTCCACGTTAAAATCCAGCAAGCCCATTCAAATGCAAGGAAGCGCATCAAAACAGAGACGTTTTGCAAGGAGAAACATTACTCATTTACCTGTGGGAGATGAATGCTGCACTTGGACGACCTTACTTCTGTGCCCTTCATCTTCAATCTGCACACACAGAAAAGAGAAAACTGGGAAGAAACAAAAAGTGTAGTGAAATGTCAAAACTCTGCATCTTTGAACATTCAACGAAGACGAACGAACTGAAACAAGGGGTGAACACAGTGGGCCCGGACAAATAGGGAGACGAAACAGACAGACATGAACAGAACGCAACAAAACAGCCGGCAACCCACCACACACACTTTCACAACGGTCGTCCTGGGGCTAAGACCTGCAAAGAGGACATATCTCCATCCCAAGCTGGAGATATGATCCCAATTTCAGACCAAAGACCCAGGCAGGGGTAGCTTCCACCGCCGGTGACACAAGTTTCACCTCCCCCTTACCCCCCCCCCTTCCTCCCCGATAGACGTCACACGGAAAAAAGGTTACAGTTACTTAACAAAAACTTCGATGAAAACCGGCGTCTTCTCTCTTCGCAGCATTCAAAAGCTCCCTGTGGCAGAAAAAAAAGAGCAAGTATACATTGTAAATTCAATATCCAATTTTCTGACATCACGTCCTGTCATCAAACCTCCAATACATTCCATTTTATCAACAAGTACTGTATGTCCAACTTGCCATCTCAAACTCCAGATATACCCCAAGGTCTACCTCCACGTTAAAATCCAGCAAGCCCATTCAAATGCAAGGAAGCGCATCAAAACAGAGACGTTTTGCAAGGAGAAACATTACTCATTTACCTGTGGGAGATGAATGCTGCACTTGGACGACCTACTTCTGTGCCCTTCATCTTCAATCTGCACACACAGAAAAGAGAAAACTGGGAAGAAACAAAAAGTGTTAGTGAAATGTCAAAACTCTGCATCTTTGAACATTCAACGAAGACGAACGGAACTGAAACAAGGGGTGAACACAGTGGGCCCGGACAAATAGGGAGACGAAACAGACAGACATGAACAGAACGCAACAAAACAGCCGGCAACCCACCACACACACTTTCACAACGGTCGTCCTGGGGCTAAGACCTGCAAAGAGGACATATCTCATCCCAAGCTGGAGATATGCCCAATTTCAGACCAAAGACCCAGGCAGGGGTAGCTTCCACCGCCGGTGACACAAGTTTCACCTCCCCCTTACCCCCCCCCTTCCCTCCCCGATAGACGTCACACGGAAAAAAGGTTACAGTTACTTAACAAAAACTTCGATGAAAACGGCGTCTTCTCTTCTCGCAGCATTCAAAAGCTCCCTGTGGCAGAAAAAAAGAGCAAGTATACATTGTAAATTCAATATCCAAATTCTGACATCACGTCCTGTCATCAAACCTCCAATACATTCCATTTTATCAACAAGTACTGTATGTCCAACTTGCCATCTCAAACTCCAAAGATATACCCCAAGGTCTACCTCCACGTTAAAATCCAGCAAGCCCATTCAAATGCAAGGAAGCGCATCAAAACAGAGACGTTTTGCAAGGAGAAACATTACTCATTTACCTGTGGGAGATGAATGCTGCACTTGGACGACCTTACTTCTGTGCCCTTCATCTTCAATCTGCACACACAGAAAAGAGAAAACTGGGAAGAAACAAAAAGTGTTAGTGAAATGTCAAAACTCTGCATCTTTGAACATTCAACGAAGACGAACGGAACTGAAACAAGGGGTGAACACAGTGGGCCGGACAAATAGGGAGACGAAACAGACAGACATGAACAGAACGCAACAAAACAGCGGCAACCCACCACACACACTTTCACAACGGTCGTCCTGGGGCTAAGACCTGCAAAGAGGACATATCTCCATCCCAAGCTGAGATATGATCCCAATTTCAGACCAAAGACCCAGGCAGGGGTAGCTTCCACCGCCGGTGACACAAGTTTCACCTCCCCTTTACCCCCCCCCCTTCCCTCCCCGATAGACGTCACACGGAAAAAAGGTTACAGTTACTTAACAAAAACTTCGATGAAAACCGGCGTCTTCTCTCTTCGCAGCATTCAAAAGCTCCCTGTGGCAGAAAAAAAGAGCAAGTATACATTGTAAATTCAATATCCAAATTTTCTGACATCACGTCCTGTCATCAAACCTCCAATACATTCCATTTTATCAACAAGTACTGTATGTCCAACTTGCCATCTCAAACTCCAAAGATATACCCCAAGGTCTACCTCCACGTTAAAATCCAGCAAGCCCATTCAAATGCAAGAAGCGCATCAAAACAGAGACGTTTTGCAAGGAGAAACATTACTCATTTACCTGTGGGAGATGAATGCTGCACTTGGACGACCTTACTTCTGTGCCCTTCATCTTCAATCTGCACACACAGAAAAAGAGAAAACTGGGAAGAAACAAAAAGTGTTAGTGAAATGTCAAAACTCTGCATCTTTGAACATTCAACGAAGACGAACGGAACTGAAACAAGGGTGAACACAGTGGCCCGGACAAATAGGGAGACGAAACAGACAGACATGAACAGAACGCAACAAAACAGCCGGCAACCCACCACACACACTTTCACAACGGTCGTCCTGGGCTAAGACCTGCAAAGAGGACATATCTCCATCCCAAGCTGGAGATATGATCCCAATTTCAGACCAAAGACCCAGGCAGGGTAGCTTCCACCGCCGCGTGACACAAGTTTCACCTCCCCTTACCCCCCCCCTTCCCTCCCCGATAGACGTCACACGGAAAAAAGGTTACAGTTACTTAACAAAAACTTCGATGAAAAACCGGCGTCTTCTCTCTTCGCAGCATTCAAAGCTCCCTGTGGCAGAAAAAAAAGAGCAAGTATACATTGTAAATTCAAATCCCAATTTTCTGACATCACGTCCTGTCATCAAACCTCCAATACATTTCCATTTTATCAACAAGTACTGTATGTCCAACTTGCCATCTCAAACTCCAAAGATATACCCAAGGTCTACCTCCACGTTAAAATCCAGCAAGCCCATTCAAATGCAAGGAAGCGCATCAAAACAGAGACGTTTTGCAAGGAGAAACATTACTCATTTACCTGTGGGAGATGAATGCTGCACTTGGACGACCTTACTTCTGTGCCCTTCATCTTCAATCTGCACACACAGAAAAGAGAAAACTGGGAAGAAACAAAAAAGTGTTAGTGAAATGTCAAAACTCTGCATCTTTGAACATTCAACGAAGACGAACGGAACTGAAACAAGGGGTGAACACAGTGGGCCCGGACAAATAGGGAGACGAAACAGACAGACATGAACAGAACGCAACAAAACAGCCGGCAACCCACCACACACACTTTCACAACGGTCGTCCTGGGGCTAAGACCTGCAAAGAGGACATATCTCCATCCCAAGCTGGAGATATGATCCCAATTTCAGACCAAAGACCCAGGCAGGGTAGCTTCCACCGCCGGTGACACAAGTTTCACCTCCCCTTACCCCCCCCTTCCCTCCCCGATAGACGTCACACGGAAAAAAGGTTACAGTTACTTAACAAAAACTTCGATGAAAACCGGCGTCTTCTCTCTTCGCAGCATTCAAAAGCTCCCTGTGGCAGAAAAAAAGAGCAAGTATACATTGTAAATTCAATATCCAAATTTTCTGACATCACGTCCTGTCATCAAACCTCCAATACATTTCCATTTTATCAACAAGTACTGTATGTCCAACTTGCCATCTCAAACTCCAAAGATATACCCCAAGGTCTACTCCACGTTAAAATCCAGCAAGCCCATTCAAATGCAAGGAAGCGCATCAAAACAGAGACGTTTTGCAAGGAGAAACATTACTCATTTACCTGTGGGAGATGAATGCTGCACTTGGACGACCTTACTTCTGTGCCCTTCATCTTCAATCTGCACACACAGAAAAGAGAAAACTGGGAAGAAACAAAAAGTGTTAGTGAAATGTCAAAACTCTGCATCTTTGAACATTCAACGAAGACGAACGGAACTGAAACAAGGGGTGAACACAGTGGGCCCGGACAAATAGGGAGACGAAACAGACAGACATGAACAGAAACGCAACAAAACAGCCGGCAACCCACCACACACACTTTCACAACGGTCGTCCTGGGGCTAAGACCTGCAAAGAGGACATATCTCCATCCCAAGCTGGAGATATGATCCCAATTTCAGACCAAAGACCCAGGCAGGGGTAGCTTCCACCGCGGTGACACAAGTTTCACCTCCCCCTTACCCCCCCTTCCCTCCCGATAGACGTCACACGGAAAAAAGGTTACAGTTACTTAACAAAAACTTCGATGAAAACCGGCGTCTTCTCTCTTCGCAGCATTCAAAAGCTCCCTGTGGCAGAAAAAAAGAGCAAGTATACATTGTAAATTCAATATCCAAATTTTCTGACATCACGTCCTGTCATCAAACCTCCAATACATTTCCATTTTATCAACAAGTACTGTATGTCCAACTTGCCATCTCAAACTCCAAAGATATACCCCAAGGTCTACCTCCACGTTAAAATCCAGCAAGCCCATTCAAATGCAAGGAAGCGCATCAAAACAGAGACGTTTTGCAAGGAGAAACATTACTCATTTACCTGTGGGAGATGAATGCTGCACTTGGACGACCTTACTTCTGTGCCCTTCATCTTCAATCTGCACACACAGAAAAGAGAAAACTGGGAAGAAACAAAAGTGTTAGTGAAATGTCAAAACTCTGCATCTTTGAACATTCAACGAAGACGAACGGAACTGAAACAAGGGGTGAACACAGTGGGCCCGGACAAATAGGGAGACGAAACAGACAGACAGAACAGAAACGCAACAAAACAGCCGGCAACCCACCACACACACTTTCACAACGGTCGTCCTGGGGCTAAGACCTGCAAAGAGGACATATCTCCATCCCAAGCTGGAGATATGATCCCAATTTCAGACCAAAGACCCAGGCAGGGGTAGCTTCCACCGCCGGTGACACAAGTTTCACCCCCCTTACCCCCCCCCTTCCCTCCCGATAGACGTCACACGGAAAAAAGGTTACAGTTACTTAACAAAAACTTCGATGAAAACCGGCGTCTTCTCTCTTCGCAGCATTCAAAAGCTCCCTGTGGCAGAAAAAAAGAGCAAGTATACATTGTAAATTCAATATCCAAATTTTCTGACATCACGTCCTGTCATCAAACCTCCAATACATTTCCATTTTATCAACAAGTACTGTATGTCCAACTTGCCATCTCAAACTCCAAAGATATACCCAAGGTCTACCTCCACGTTAAAATCCAGCAAGCCCATTCAAATGCAAGGAAGCGCATCAAAACAGAGACGTTTTGCAAGGAGAAACATTACTCATTTACCTGTGGGAGATGAATGCTGCACTTGGACGACCTTACTTCTGTGCCCTTCATCTTCAATCTGCACACACAGAAAGAGAAACTGGGAAGAAACAAAAAGTGTTAGTGAAATGTCAAAACTCTGCATCTTTGAACATTCAACGAAGACGAACGGAACTGAAACAAGGGTGAACACAGTGGGCCCGGACAAATAGGGAGACGAAACAGACAGACATGAACAGAACGCAACAAACAGCCGGCAACACCACCACACACACTTTCACAACGGTCGTCCTGGGGCTAAGACCTGCAAAGAGGACATATCTCCATCCCAAGCTGGAGATATGATCCCAATTTCAGACCAAAGACCCAGGCAGGGGTAGCTTCCACCGCCGGTGACACAAGTTTCACCTCCCCCTTACCCCCCCCCTTCCCTCCCCGATAGACGTCACACGGAAAAAAGGTTACAGTTACTTAACAAAAACTTCGATGAAAACCGGCGTCTTCTCTCTTCGCAGCATTCAAAAGCTCCCTGTGGCAGAAAAAAAGAGCAAGTATACATTGTAAATTCAATATCCAAATTTCTGACATCACGTCCTGTCATCAAACCTCCAATACATTTCCATTTTATCAACAAGTACTGTATGTCCAACTTGCCATCTCAAACTCCAAAGATATACCCCAAGGTCTACCTCCACTAAAATCCAGCAAGCCCATTCAAATGCAAGGAAGCGCATCAAAACAGAGACGTTTTGCAAGGAGAAACATTACTCATTTACCTGTGGGAGATGAATGCTGCACTTGGACGACCTTACTTCTGTGCCCTTCATCTTCAATCTGCACACACAGAAAAGAGAAAACTGGGAAGAAACAAAAAGTGTTAGTGAAATGTCAAAACTCTGCATCTTTGAACATTCAACGAAGACGAACGGAACTGAAACAAGGGGGAACACAGTGGGCCCGGACAAATAGGGAGACGAAACAGACAGACATGAACAGAACGCAACAAAACAGCCGGCAACCCACCACACACACTTTCACAACGGTCGTCCTGGGGCTAAGACCTGCAAAGAGGACATATCTCCATCCCAAGCTGGAGATATGATCCCAATTTCAGACCAAAGACCCAGGCAGGGGTAGCTTCCACCGCCGGTGACACAAGTTTCACCTCCCCCTTACCCCCCCCCTTCCCTCCCCGATAGACGTCACACGGAAAAAGGTTACAGTTACTTAACAAAAACTTCGATGAAAACCGGCGTCTTCTCTCTTCGCAGCATTCAAAAGCTCCCTGTGGCAGAAAAAAAGAGCAAGTATACATTGTAAATTCAATATCCAATTTTCTGACATCACGTCCTGTCATCAAACCTCCAATACATTTCCATTTTATCAACAAGTACTGTATGTCCAACTTGCCATCTCAAACTCCAAAGATATACCCCAAGGTCTACCTCCACGTTAAAATCCAGCAAGCCCATTCAAATGCAAGGAAGCGCATCAAAACAGAGACGTTTTGCAAGGAGAAAATTACTCATTTACCTGTGGGAGATGAATGCTGCACTTGGACGACCTTACTTCTGTGCCCTTCATCTTCAATCTGCACACACAGAAAAGAGAAAACTGGGAAGAAACAAAAAGTGTTAGTGAAATGTCAAAACTCTGCATCTTTGAACATTCAACGAAGACGAACGGAACTGAAACAAGGGGTGAACACAGTGGGCCCGGACAAATAGGGAGACGAAACAGACAGA